TGGTGCTGTCAATCGATTTAAAAGTAATTAAGCAATCTCACCTAACATTAAAGTTTTTAAGTTAAGTTTTTAATAGTTTTCAATAGTTTTACATGTACTCTTCAAATTAATGCAGAAACAACATAAAGACAGTATATTTTTTTATATTTGTTTAGTGACATCATTTTTATGACTGAAGGTGAGTATCACTGATATCAATAATACTGATGTCCCTAGGAAACTGTTCTTTTTTTCCTAATATTTAACCATTGACTAAAGCCATTCAACATTGCAGTATAATTGAGAGCTATCAATTGGAACATTTATTAGACTTTAAAAAATAACTTTTAATTAAAGTGAACTTTAAGTGAAACAATCTTCACATAAACCCATTATAATAAATCTCATATTTACCTGTGCCCTTCAGCAAATAGGAAATATACAGAAATGGAATAAAGTTATCAACATTAAATTATATATATATATATATATATATGTGACATATGTATGGCAATATATGTCATATATACATATAAAATATAAGATATCAACATAAAATTATATATATATATATATATATATATATATATATGTGACATATGTATGGCAATATATGTCATATATACATATAAAATATAAATTCAATTTCACAATGTTTAATTTAATTATATATCTATATATCGATATTTCAAAGGATCAAGCTATTTTATCAAGTTGATTTTGACGTAACAGTAATAAAAATCCCTCAAAACATCCTCTACTGAATGAACGTTTGTGGCTCATTGGTTTGGAAAAGGTTTTGCATGATCTCCACACTGACAGCTGATAGTCACTTACTGAGGAAACGACATGCTAACCATGTGTTTCCAGTTTACCCAGAGCTGACCCGCGTCGTCCTCGTCTGTTTATGCCTTCGCTGATTTATTGAGCTTTCAGAGGCGCAGATCGGACCATCTGCGGTCTGTCATTCGTTCCTGCAAAACACCTTCACAAAGACGCTCAGTGTGCTCATAGATGTGCATGCTCTGTGGTTTAATGGCCGGCGTGTCGTCTGACGATCTGAAAGGCAATATAGGAGGTAACACATTACAAGTAACGCGAGTTACGTAATCAGATTACTTTTTAAAAGTAACTAATAAAGTAATGCATTACTTTTTAATTAAATAGAAGGAAATATCAGAGTTACTTTTTTAAATAAGTAACGCCAGTTACTTTGTTTCCATTCATTGGCTGACAGCTCTGGTGTTGCCGTGGTGACAGAAATCAGGAGTAAGTGCAGAGCGTACAGTAAGAACATGATCTTACTGTAGTTATGTATTTATTCATCTCACTGCACAAAAACAGATTCAGTGTTCCTCAAAATGAATAAAAACAGTCAAGTGCAAACTCAGGATATGAGGTAAACCTGCAATAATTAAATGTGTTAAATAAGACAATATCATTTATCTATTTAATCCCATTTTATTAACCAGTGTCTTTGCTGCTGACCTTCGATGATCCAATTCAACCATACTAAGCAAAAATCACACATTTGAGTTTCATTTTAGTTATTGCTGAATAGTGTTGAACTTTCTTCTCCTGCGTCGTATTCTTCATGTGATGTGTTTGAGCTGCGCCCTCTACTGTACAGACATGAGATTACATTTCCTTCAGCCTGAGGCGCAATCATTTCACTTTTGGTGTGAAAGGGCTTTTACTTTTGTAAAGAAATTACTTTTTTATATTAAAAACAAGCAAGCAAGCCCTGCCCAGATTTAAAAAGTAACTCAAAAGTAACGTAACATGTTACTTTCCATAGAAAGTAACTAAGTAACGTAATTAGTTACATTTTATAAAACGGAGAGTTCCGGTGCTTGGTTCTGATTGGCTGAGCCACGTTCAAATCTGTTGTAAATGACTCTACAAAGTAACATACACCTTTGTTTACGTTTGTGTGTTGCTCGGCAACCACTTTGTAGCAACCACAACTGTTTCTGAGGAACTACGTTGTTTGGTGGAAGAATACTGTTTTTATTAATATCATTACACTTTATTTGCTCTGTTTTATTTTGTGAAGCCTTACTACGTATATGAAATAACCGTTTTATAAAAGCAATAAGCCCCGTGAAGCCGTGGTTCACAGTGAATTTATAACAGGTTTTAGACCCTAACAACACCCCTTAGCTGTTATAAATTCACTGAAATCCACACTCTGTTGATCTGTTGATCGCCGCAGACGTTTTAAGGCACGTGTCTTGAGACGTTCAGTGAACTTACCATGAGATCATCAGATGTGAATCCGCTGAACCACTCCTAGAAACACACACACACACACACACACACACACAGAGACACACACACGTTTGAACTCCATGAACCACAGATGCATTATTTCACATGTCAAGGACTTTGTTTATGAATCTGATCTGTTTATGTTTTTCTGTGAGTGATGAAATCAGATCCGTTCGTTCAGACGTTGTCGGGATCTGCGTTCTCTTACAAGAGTGGATTTAATAATGACGTGATGCAGAGAGACTTTCATCTGCTGGAACGTTACTGTTTCTGCTGATTTGATTTCTGCTCACTCATTGCCTATATGAAAGTATATATAAATATAAATACAGTGGTGTGAAACAGCCATAAATACAGTGGTGTACCTGATTTCTTATTTTTTTGCATGTTTGTCACACTTTAATGTTTCAGATCATCAAACAAATTTAAATATTAGTAAAAGATAACACAAGTGAACACAACGTGCAGTTTTTAAATGAAGGTTTTTATTATTAAGGGAAAACAAAATCCAAAACTACATGGCCCTGTGTGAAGAAGTGTTTGCCCCTAAGCCTAATAACTGATTGGGCCACCCTTAGCAGCAACAACTGCAATCAAGCGTTTGCGATAACTTGCAATGAGTCTGTTACAGCACTGTGGAGGAATTTTGGTCCACTCATCTAAGCATAATTGTTGTAATTCAGCCACATTGGAGGGTTTTCAAGCATTAACCGCCTTTTTAAGGTAATGCCACAGCATCTCAATAGGATTCAGTTCATTAGAATATATTTAATTAACTTTACTGTATTCATCGGTTTTAATCTTTTTTTAACTCTAATCATAAATATTACTGAAAATTAGGATTGGTGGTTGCACTTGACCTTGTCAAAGCCGTTTTGAGTGGAACGGGTGTGTGATTCATTAAGTTCACATATAAAAAAAATATCATCATCATTTATAGCATGGCTTTCGTTCTTTAGAGAAACACTAGGAGGCTTTTGAAGACTCTTGTTTCCATTCAGTGAAAAGTATCTCAACAGTAGTCCAAATGACTTATTATTAGTGCTGTCAATCGATTAAAAAAAATAACGAATTAATCGCACATTTTTTCTGAAATTAATCGCGATTAATCTCACCTAACATTAAAGTTTTTAAATATTCTTTTATATTGCAATAATTTCATATTCAATCTTCAAATTAATGTACAAACAACATAAAGACAGTATATTGTAAAATATTTGTTTAATGGCATATTTTTTTATGACTGAAGGCCAGTATCAATGATACCAATACTGATTTCTCTATAAAATCCCCCCCCTCCCTAAAATTTAACCATTGACTAAAGCCATTCAACATTACAGTATAATTGAGATTAAAACAATCTTCACATAAACCCATTATAATAAATGTCATATTTACCTGTGCCCTTCAGCAGAAATATACGGAAATTGAAATGGTCAAACATTAAATTCTAAATTAAATGTAGGTGAATCCTTAAAGCAACACAAATTATTTTATCCTCTTTTTTATCTTTGTCCTTTGATGAACAGACTTCACAGCAGCTGGTTATTAGGTTGTTTTGGCTGCTATTACTTTAAGAGCTGCCGCTGCTGAACGTGACGCGGATCGAGCTGACGAGTTAAATCGGGTGTGTTAGATGAGTGAGACAGTGCTGGGCTCCAGGACAGTTTTGAAAACTATTTCAGAGACACGTTCTTAAATGTGACTCATATAAAATATATGAGTTTTAAGGCAGCTTTAATCGCCTTTTTGGTAACTTCATGACTTAACTGACCACAACATCGCATGCACGTAGTTTATGTTGTGCTTTGATATGAAAGGATACAGGCTACAGCGCGCGCCGCCGCCTTTGTTCATGCAATTGAAGAGAGCACGCGCTGCGAGCACAGTACCGTTTCCGCGATATATACACACATATTTTTATATATATGTATAAAAGTATTTAAAATACTTTTAATTGATAATTGAATGCATAATATAAAATAATTAATATTTGAAATATTAAACGTGTATATACATATATTATGTGTATATATATATATATATATATACACACATATTTTTATATATATGTATAAAAGTATTTAAAATACTTTTAATTGATAATTGTATAAAATATATAAAATAATTAATATTTGAAATATTAAACGTGTATATACATATAATGTATTTTATGTGTATATATTGTATATATTTTAATTTCAAAATAGTTAATTTAATTACATTTAAACATCTATATACATTTATATATATATATTTTTTTTTTTAAACATTTGTCCATTGAATATGTCTTCTGAGACATGTTCTTTTCAGAATAGTTGATATAAGGTAACTGTTAAGGCAGTCGTGTTAACCTTATGTTTTCAAGTTTCTCCAAGTAGAAGTTGGAATGCATTTCCAAAAAAAATAAAACACACACACACATGTATAGGATCTGGTTGTGGACTTCATGCATTGTTTTGTGTTTAAGCAATAGTCAATCTAACATATTTCAGTCAGAAATGGCAGAAAAGCACATTTTTGTCCTGTCTGAACACATGTATGTGACTAAAGTGTCGGAGCGTTGATGAAGTTCACTCACAGACAGTGATTTCTGTGTTTTAAACATCCGGCTTGAGCTCTTTTCTCTCTGTCATTGACTCTAGTGTAAATGAAGAATATATAAATGAGCGGCTCCATCAGATCAGTGTTATTTTACATCAGACTTCATTCACAGATCGCTGCGTTTGCTTGAGCTTCACCACAGTTTCTCTCTCTGTGTAGTTGTTAGTAATCTGAATGAGTCACTATATGTCTGAATCTCACCAAACCTGCCATCTGTGATGAATCTTAATGCTCATTAGAGTCTCCTAAAAAAATCAATGCAATACAATCAACAGCAAATACTACTACAATGTGTGCTTTTAAATAATATAAATGAGGTGGTAAATAATGAAATTCTATCATTAAATAATTGAATTTATTTAATTATGATATTATATATATGATATATACACACACACAAATAAAAAATTAAATAAATTTGTATATGTATTAAAATGTGAAAATATACAATAGATATAATAAAATATAATATAAAACCATAATAAAGTAAAAATATAATATTTAAATATGCATGCATATTTACATTAAAATAAACATTTTTACTGTATACAACTACATGTAAAATGTACAAAAAATTTAAATTTATATATAAAATATTTAAATTAAAATATTTGTATTGCAATTTAAAATATGCATATATTTATTAATTTGTTTTATTTGCATTTTAAACATTTAAAATTTTAAAATACAATATTTTTAATAAAAAATATAGGTGTAAATTTATATATAAAAACTGTAGTGTGTATATCTTAATATCTTAATAATTCTAAACAGAAAAAAACGATCTTTGACTTTGTACTGAATTATGAGCTGAACGTGTTCTTGGCAGGTTTGGGAAATTCACTCTTGTTTGCTTGTATTATCAGTCTCAAGACTAAAGCTGATTGAGTTTTCAAACTCTGTTCGAGTTCAATCACATTCTGAGGATTAGACACACGTTCATGCATTAGAAGTGATTCTAGCAGTAAATATTACTACAGTACCGATCATTTCATCATTTCAACACAAAACATCATGTTTATCCCATCAGACTGACCTCAAGCCGCTTCTCCTCTCGTCTCTCTTCAGTCGTCCTTCAGCTGTGTGTGTGACTCCCATCAGACGAGAGCGTTCACAGCCGCTCGCTCTCCTCCTGCCAGCATGCTGATGGTCGTTTCTCTTATCTGTGTTTCTTTGATGTGTTTCTGCTGGCAGACTGCAGCCTGTATTTAAAATACCTCTGTAATGACCCTGTTTATGGTGTGTGTGTGAGTGTGAGTGTGTGTGTGTGTGTGTGTGTGTGTGTGTGTGTGTGTGTGTGTCTGTGTGTGT